GGGCACAGACCATGAAATCGCATTTCCCAACGAGTATGAAGTCCACAGCACACATTGGAGACATCGTTGTGACCAGAATTACAATGGGGAAACGATCCGAGCACAAACCATGAAATCGCGGTTCCCAACGAGTATGACGTCCAGAGCGCGCATTGTAGAAAGTTCAGAGGTGACATTCACGACATCATTGCGACCAGAACTATAATGGGGGAACGATCCGGGCACAGACCGGGCACAGACCTTGGAATCGCATTTCCCAATGAGTATGCGGTCCGGACCGCACATTGGCGACATCCTTGTGACCAGAATTATAATGGTGCGCCCAGCCGCGCTCAGACAAAATGTACGTTTCACCACACGTTCGTGCACTCGACACGCACGATCTCCGCAGAGGGTTGCTCGAGGGCAAACCTTGAAACCAGAATTACAATGGGGAAACGCAAAATCGACAAAACCTTGTCACCAGAATTATAATGGCGGAACGCACCGCGCACACCAAAAATGTACGTTTCACCACACGTTCGCGCGATCGACACGCACGATCTCCGCAGAGGGTTGCTCACGGACAAACGCGATTCGCGTCTCACCACACGCGCGCGCGATCGATGGCCACGATTCCACGAGAGGGTTGCGTTTCGTAAGACCTGCTCGCACCGCCCCGCCGCCTAAAGAGAAGAATAAAGAAGAAGTTGGGTAGGTGAAGTTGGGTAGGTGTCTTAAGGAAGATGTCTACACCTACCTATCTTCACCTACCTATCTTCACCTACCTATCTACACCTACCTACCTACACCTACCTGTCTATACCCACTTATCAATACCTACCTATCAATATCTACTTCTGATGTACTTTGATATTGTTGATCTGATACTTCTACTTCATATGTTATGTTGTGATGTGATATTATTTTATCACATGATATGAGATGATATGATCTGACATTGATGTGATGTGATATGATATTAAAACATGATATGATATGATATGTTATGACATTGATGTGATGTGATATGATATTGATATTATAACCTGATATGATATAATATGATATGATATGAGATTAATAACCTATGAGGTGATGATTAGATGATGATGTTGTGAGGGTGAAGTAGGAGAAAG